CCCGCCCAGCGCGGGCCCGGGGCAAAAGCGGGACCGGGGCAGCGCCCGCCGCCCGTCCCGCCGCCGCCGCTGCGGAGGATGGGGCGGCGGGTTCGAGACCCGGGTGCTCCCGCGGCGCCGGGGCGTGCGGTGGGGCGGAGGCTGTGCACAGGGGGCGTCCGGGCTGCCGGGGCGGGGAGGGGAGGAAGGCGCGGGAAGGGACGCGGCGATGGCGGCCTGTCCCCGTCACCTGCAGGCGTTGCCGGGACGGCCCCGGCCCCCGCTCCCGCCCCGGCCCGTGCCCACACAGCCCGTGGGGAGCCGGGCCGGGGGCGGCTGTGCCTGTTGCATTGTCCTTGGCGGGGCTGTCTGTGAGCGCCCGCCGCTATCTGAGGCCGGGGACCCCGGCGGTGCCCTGTGTCGGACTCTCTGCCCCGCCTGATAGCGGCTGCACCCTGCTCCGTTGCACGTCCCTTGCGGCTCCCGCCGGGGCTCTCTCCCCTTTTGTCTGTGTATTTTTAGGTCATTAGAGTGGAGGGGTAGGTAATCCCCAGGCTCAAGTTCCAGAGGGGCGGGTTCTGGACGGAGGTGGAGTCACTTTTCATTTAAATCCCTGACTATAAAATGGGCTTAAAGAGAAGCGGGATCTCAGCTGTGCTGCACAGACCCCGGCACGCAGGGTGCGTGGGGGCCCCCCGGCAGCCAGCGCCCTGCAGCACAAGCCGCTGCGATGCTCCACTCCGTCGGCGTTCACACCTTGCAGCTGCTCACCCAGGCGGCCGCCTGCATCCTCCTATTTCCCCGCTTCCTGCTCACCGCCGTGATGCTCTGGCTCCTGGATTTTCTGTGCATTAGGAAGAAGATGCTGACGATGCCCACGGCGGAGGAGGCGGCCAGCGCCAGCGAGGAGCCGCCCCCCGACGACCCCCCGGTCTGCGTGTCCGACTCCAACCGCATGTTCACGCTGGAGTCGCTGAAAGCCGTGTGGCACGGGCAGAAGCTGGACTTCTTCAAGTCGGCGCACGTGGGTTCCTTGGCCCCTAACCCCGAGGTGATCCAGCTGGACGGGCAGAAGAGGCTCCGCATCCTGGACTTCGCCCGCGGCAAGAGACCCCTCATCCTCAACTTCGGCAGCTGCACCTGACCCCCGTTCATGGCCCGCCTGAGGTCCTTCCAGCGCCTGGCCGCGCACTTCGTGGACATTGCCGACTTCCTGCTGGTGTACATTGAAGAAGCACACCCGTCCGACGGCTGGGTCAGCTCGGATGCTGCCTACAACATCCCCAAGCACCAGTGCCTCCAGGACAGGCTGCGGGCAGCTCAGCTGATGAGGGAAGGGGCGCCCGATTGCCCCCTGGCCGTGGACACCATGGACAATGCTTCCAGCGCCGCCTACGGTGCCTACTTCGAGAGGCTCTACATCATTCAGGAGGAGAAGGTGATGTACCAGGGAGGCAGAGGACCAGAGGGCTACAAGATCTCGGAGCTGAGGAGCTGGCTAGACCAGTACAAAACCCGGCTGCAGAGCCCCAGCACGGTGGTCATCCAAGTGTAAAAAGGACCTGGCAAGAAGCGCAGGGGTGGAGAGGCGAGGGAGGGCGGGAGGAGAGGTGGGGAGGGAGAAGGCACTGCGTCGCGGATGGCAGGAGCTGTCTTCCCGCGGGGACACTCGAAGGAGGCTGCTGTGCGAGCTTTCGAGCAAGACGTGCCATAGTCCTTTCTCTATTCAAATCATGTTGATTTGCCAGCCACGCTCTGTCAATACTGTATTTCCATGTGCGTTTTGTAAATAACTCTCTTTTTTTTCACTATTTTTTAAGGAGGCTCTCTTCCTACGGGATCTGTTCCCGGCTGCGTGTGTGCGCGGGTGTGTGTCTGAAAAGTTGTGTACAAGTGCTCCGTGCTGCCTAGCAAGTGCTAACTGGGATTTCTAGTATTTCTTTGTGATGACCGATTTTGAAATGGGTTTCTCTAATGCCAGGAAATCGCGTCTGATGTTGTCAAATACTAGAACTGCCAATAGCCAGAGCTGGACGGAATGTCCTATTTATGTGGGGGGGTTTTGTAAGACGTTCGTTCACCTTCCTTTTTTTTATGAATTTTTTTAAATAATAAAGGCTGAGTAACTACACATCTAAGGTTGACTGCCTTTCTCTATCTTCAGACCGCTACGTTCACTTTCCCTTTTGCCTACCTCGCAACACCCCCCCGCAGCCGAGGAGGGGCAGGCGGAGCGGCAGGAGGGAGAGGATGCGCTGCCGGGGGCTCGGGGGCGGCGAGCTCAGGCTCGGCAGCGGCAGGAGCGCGCACCGCCCGCGACCCGGAGGAAAGGGAGAGTACTGGGTGTCCTCATGGGGAAATCCAAACCTTCCGGGCTCCTGGGGGAGGAGACCGGTCAGGAGGACCGCGTGCTCCCTCAGTGACCCCGGACTGAGCCCTGAGCCCTGCAGGGCGAAGGTGCAGGGCTGACCGGCGCCGTGCAGGCAAGTGAGTCCCGACCGAAAACACAGGCTGGGGAAAGCCGTCCTGGGCGGGAGAGCTGCCCCGCCAAGGACGCCTCGTCTCGAACACGCAGGCTGTGCCGGACCGGAGCCCGGCCGGGGGCAGCGCGAACCGCACCTGCGGCGAAGCGCGGCTGAGAGGCTCGGGCAGGAGGGCAGCGCCCAACCCGGCCGTGCGAGGCTCAGCCCCACCCCCGGGGGCCGGCAGCTACGCTGTAAAGGGTGCGGGGTGCCGAAACTTGCTCCCTTGGACCCCGACAGGTGAGACAGGGCGTGGAGAGCATCCCGCAACGTCCGCCGGAGCCGTACAAAGCTGCCCAGAGACAGTGGATCTTTAAGGACCACCCGTGGCGTCTCTGAACGCCTCCACGTCCTTGACAGCAGCGGGACGAGGCGCCCGAGCTGTTAAGCCCCTAAGTTTTGGAGAGGGGTGCACGGTCCGAAGGTGGGGCAAGCCGCCGACGCCGCTCTTCGCAGCTGGGCACCGAGTCGCGCCCGCAGTGCTGAACTAAACCCGCGGGAAGCTGTTTGTAAAGGCGTTACAGCCCCTGTCTTGACAATGCTCCTCCGGACCCGCAGTGTTCCAGTCTTTCAACATTCACGCTTTAGACTAGCACGCGTAACTGCTCCCGCCTCTCCCCGCAACAAAAGCAGCACCGAGTGGTCCCTCACAGAGAAATCAGATGCTACGACCCTGTTCGTCCGTCCCCTTCGCCCCCGCAGCCTCCCTGAAAATCGGGCCGCTCTGCTGAGGTGTCAAAGGATCCGGCTCAGGTGCCCGCTTGGGGCTTCCCGACCCGCCTGGCCATTGCGCCTGCTCGGACGGGGTCGAAAGCCTTTCAGCCCTCCTTCACCTTTCCGCTGCCCCCAAGAGCGGACCCCCCGGCACCGGGCTCAAGGCACCGGTTCCGCCCGGCTCAGGTGCCTGCGGTTGATGTTGGGGCGGCGGGGCGAGAGCCCACCCTGAGGTGGTCTTGCTTCACTGGCCGGGCGCTGGGCGCAAGCACAGAGCCCTCTGCGAAGTCCCGGAGTGGAGGGGAACCTCGGCGGCAGAGCCAGCAGGACAAGCTGGGCAGGGCATCACCCCGCTCCCCCCGGCATCACCCCGCTCTCCCCGGCATCACCCCGCTCCCCCCGGCACGGGCAGCGCCCGCCTAGGCACGGCAAGGTGTGGGTGCCTGAGCCGCGGCCAGCCCCCGTCAGTGCCGCCCGCCTACGTGGGCACATCAGCCTCGGCTCCCTCCCGGCACCCCAAGAGGGAGAATGGGCGCTCCTCCCTGGTACGAGACTCCCGAGCACCACAAAGCTCGCTGTGCCCCGCTGCGGGACAGCCGAGCCCCCGCTCCGCCCCGCTGCCCGCGGCTCCCAGCGCGGTACCGGCCCTGGCCCTGCCCTGCTGCGCCTTTCCCAGCCCCACGCACGTCGTGCCGTAAAAAACAAAGGCAGAGGAGCAGCGGGTCTCCTCTCTCGGCTGCAAGGGCAGACCGTGTACGCGATTTTTTTTTTTTTTTTTTTTTTGACAGCTTAGTTTTCCTGACTTTACAATAAAGCCATTCTTTTCTTTCTCACCTCGTTATCTCTTTCCTTTATCCGCTTTTGGCGACTTTTAGTTGTAATCCGAAATTACGGCAAGATCCGGGCACATCCCCACCCCGGCCTGGCCCCCAGGACATTTTCCGGTCATACAGACAGAAATGGTCACTGTGGGCTTTAATAATAACAGAAACAGCCTCATCTTTACTCTCTACTACTAGCAGATCTTGGTCAAAGGCTATATGAGGTCAGGATTTTTTTTTTCCCCTAAATAAGTCAGCTTTCTAAAGCTACATTCCTCCATTAAAGCGAACACAGAGATCTTATTTATCACTTTCTCTTTAATCAGCAACAGAAGAAAAATTTGCTATGAATTCCTGGAATCCCTGAAAGAGATCACACTTTTCCTTTGCACAAATCAAAGTTATCTGCTTCTATTATATCCTCCACTTAAAATGAATCATAAGCCTCCATCCCACTGAGCTTTCTCGGGGATACTTGTTTAGCACAGACGAGAACAATACGTTGTACATCTAAAGAGCCCCGGGCGGCAGAAGCCTCTCCGACTGATACAAAGGATTGAGAAACGTCCTATCTTTAAAACGCATTTTTAGTGCCCTTCCACCTCCCTAGTGCACGACAAACAGAAGTCAGAGAGCACAGAGAGATTTATCAGAGAGAGATCTGAGTGGCAATTACATGTTCTGTCAATAATTAATTGAATTATGTCCTCATCATAATTGCATACAGTCCTCTAGCCAGGAGGAGAAAGGAAAGAAGGAAGTGGTGGTGTGGTCAGAGGGGGATCTCAGGACATGGTTCTAGTCATTAAAAATGTGATGTAACATTGCAATCTGGTGTATTCTGAGACACAAATGGGGAAACACAAACGAAACCAACTACTAAAATCTTATTTGATTTACAGCAGGGAGACAGAAAAAGCACTTGCCTTCGTTAGTTATTTCCATTACTACTTTCTGCTGGGGATTTAAAGGTACTTTGCCATGTAAAGACCAAAGCTCTTCCTCATTTGAACTATGACAAATATGTTGTAGTCTTTCTATTGTTCACCACATACTACCTGACTACGTTGAATGTTTCTGATAAAAACAGAAACAGATTTATTTTGAAACAGATTTATTTTGAAATAAAAATTTAAATTTGTCCAGAAAATAAATTTAGTCCAGCAAATACAAATGACACATTCAAATAGTCTTGCAAGCAAATTCTTACTCTGACACTTATTTTTCTGTATTTCTTCCAGTCATAAGGGAGATCATCATATCATTATTAATTTATTATTTACTAAGAGCTATTAGAGTACTCTTCTGGTACACGAATGCAGGAAAACAAAGAGCTTGATTCAGTTCTCACACAAGTTTTGCACTGCTGTAACTTCAATGACACGGGTGTAGTCACTTCAGAACCACCTGGGTGTAATTATGATCAAAATCTGGGCTATTGCACTTCCTTTGCTTTTCTAATGGTTCAAAACCTCTATTTTTCTACAGCATGCTGTGGAAGACAGACAGCTGTTTGCATATAGATCTCAGAAATCATCCTCAAGTTCCTCCTCACTGCCAGTGCCAGGGTCCTATATCCTGCCACAATTTAGGCATGTCAGCACTTTTCCTCACCATTCTGCATCCTCCCTACAACATGAGAGCCGTAAACCCCATCAATATGTGTTTCCTTCCACTTGTTAAGGCTGATCCTCCTGATGTCTTGAGCTTTAGATCAGGTAGCTTTTCATTCTAATTGCTTTTGAGATCCAGCTGCCAAAAGGGAATTTGACACCTGCTTCCCTCCTTGCAAATTTCTCTTTTCAGACAAGAGTTTGAAAAGGGGTTCATTTATGACCTCCACTTAATTGACTAACTCACGTATTTCTCATCTTCTTGGCCTTCCACCTGCTTCTTCAGAGATTTTGGAAATGGTTTACACTGGTGAATGCGCTAACACTTAACTAGAATTGCGAACAGTAGTCAGTACTTCCTAAGTGAAAATGCAATACAGCACAAGGTTAAAATCCTTCAGCAAGTATGTTTTGCATGAGAATCCTCCTCAGGTCTTGTCCCCTCAAAAGCGAGGCTCCCTCATTCTAGTCCATGGAGTTCCTGTGCCCATCAATCTTAGAAGATCAGGTCTGTATGTTGTTTCATCCCTCCGGCAAATTAATAGCTCCATCCTGACTTTGCTCATGGAAGCATTTGCTTCCATTTCCTTTCAACTAATAAATATCCTCCATCTCAAAAGGACCTTTAGGACATGGCCATATGGGGTAAGGTAGCTCAACCCCCTACACAAACCCCCAGTGGCCAGAATTACCCCAACACGGAGGTGATCCCAGAAAGTCTGATAAAGGTATCCAAGAGCTGCATTTCGTACTGGAGCCTTCATGAATGAACTGGCACATAGTTCCCAGCAGAAGAGCATTCCATTATCCATTATAAAGCAATGGGCACCTTGGAAAATTATAAACAGATTTAGATTTTACTGAAACCCCTAGCAATGAGGGTAAGAACTATGATGAAGTTTTCATTCTTTTATGGCCATCTTCTCACCATCTTAGGTTTATAAAGCAACTAGTGCTTCAGCAGTCTGCAGTTGAACAGATTTTTAGATTCCAAGTCATCCCAGGCTGGATTTTTAGGGTCATAATTCTATTTTTCTTGCATCTTGGTTTTCTTGCCTGAAGAGTCAGTCAGGATATATATTCAGAATCACAGCACATTTTGAGCTGGAAGGGACCCACAAGGATTATCAAGTTCAACTC